CTAACCCATAACAAAGACGAAACAAAAAAATAAATTTTCTAAATGAGAACGGGTACAAAACGGCTTTACTAAACTACTTTACTAAACTGGTTTTCTAAATTAGATTCTCACCTTCTAACCCAAAACAAAGACAAAAGAATAAATATATGTATATGTTTAAATGAAAACGGCTTTCGTAAAGCCAAAATAATTTTCTAAATAACACTTTCTAACCCAAAATAAAGACAAAATAAATTTTTTTTTTTTACATGAAAACGACTTTAGTAAAGCCAAAAAAAATTTATTAATTACATTATCACCTTCTAACCCAAAACAAATACAAAACAATAAACAAAAAAAAAATTTACATGAAAACAACTTTAGTAAGACGAAAAAAATTATTAATTACATTTTCTAAATCAAAACAAAGATAAAAGAAAAAATAAAAAATTTAACATGAGAATGGCTTCAGTAAAGCCAAATAAATGAACATGATTGGCTTAATAATATCTAAATGAATATGATTGGCTTAATAATATCTAAATGAATATGATTTTAAAATTATATATATGAAAAATAGTATGTAAAATTAATATATGAAAACAGATTTTTCTCATATTATGTAAAATTTATTGTAAACCTGCATTCAAAAACAAAAGAAAAAAAAAAACATATTTTAACATGACAATAGCTTTAGTAAAGCCAATTTCAATTTTATGAATCATATTATCACCAAAACAATGACAACAGACAAAAAAAATAAAAAATAAAAAAATAATCTGCTAATGAGGAAAGAAATGGGACTTGGGTGTACAGTGTAAACGCTATTGGAAATGGCGTTTTCTTCAGAACTAAATGCGCTATTCCGAATAGCGTTTTTGTCAACAGTAAAGACGCTATTTGTAATAGCGTTTTCGTCACATATACAGTGAAGGCGCTATTTGTAATAGCGTTTTCTTCACAAACCTGCATTCCGAAATGAAGCTATATTCAAAATAGTGTTTAGTTTAGAAGCGCTATTTGCAATAGCGTTTTCTTAATCAAACTCGCTAATTGGAATAGCGATTACACTATTCATCCAATTTCAACCTCCTCACAGTAAAAGCGCGAATGAGAATGACGCTTCAGCTTATTTTGGAAATTTCCTCGGAAGTTGGCATAGTTTGGGAAATAAAATGCAAAATAGTATTCTGGGAAAAAGCCCTCGGATCCAAACGAGGGGCTTCAATCTGATATTTCTTCTAAGTTCAGTGACAGAACAAGAAAAAAATGGAGATCAGAGCGAGCGAAGACATCAGCATAGGCCAAGATCTAACCCCTCCACTGGCTCCCCTCGCTTTCTCACTCCACTCCTCCTCCCTCCTCTCTCACTGCTCCGCCTGCTTCTCTCCTCTCTCTCCTCCTCCCCACCTTCCATTCCCCAACCCCTCCTCCTCCTCCTCCTCCTCCTCCTCCGTCCTCTACTGCTCCCCACAATGCTCCGAGGCCGATTCCGATCTCCACCTCTCCAGCGCCGAGCACCACCTCCTCTGCTGCCACTTCCACGGCGGCTGCGACACCTCCGACCTCCGCGCCGCCCTCCGCCTCATCCGCCGCTTCGAGCTCCTCAACCTTATTTCCCGCCAAAACTACCAGTTTGAGAGAATTGGCGGTTTGATGAGCAATCGCGATAAATTGATGTCTTCCCTGAACGAAGAAGAAGACGGCGACGTTTTGGCGAGGATTAAGGATGGCGCGAAGGCCATGGCGATGGCGAGAAGGATGCGAGACGGTTTGGCTTTAGAATGCTCGGGGTTAGGGGAGTGTGTATTGGAAGAGGTGGTGTTGTGTGTGGTGTTAACGAACGCCGTGGAGGTTCAGATTAGCGGAGGAGGTCCCGCCGTTGGGATTGCTGTGTACGATACGACATTTTCGTGGATCAATCACAGCTGCTCCCCCAATGCTTGTTACTGGTTTTTGCAGCAGAATGAGTGTTCCGGTGGCGCGTCATGGTCGCGCATTGTTCCTGCCAGCAGTGATGGAATTGAAGAAATGGGAAATGGTAACAAATGTGAATCAACAAAAGGTAATTCATTGTTTATATTTTTCCAAAAATGAGAAATGAGCTATTCTTTCAAATTCAGTGTAGTTCTTTTTTGTGTTTTGTGTTAATTATGATGCAGTGAGAGCTAAGGAATATGGTCCCAGAATAATTGTTGGAAGTATCAAGGCGATTAACAAGGGTGAGGAGGTATCTGTTGCTTACACTGACTTGTTGCAACCTAAGGTATTTTGGTCTTCTCCCTATTAAATTTTATACAAATGTGTAATTATTATTATTATTTTCTTTCAGTGGAATATGTTCATTTTAACTAAATGCATAACTAGATGGTCACAAATTTTGGATTCAGGTATTATTCGCTTCAGTGGAGTTTGTATTGTAACCTGGGATTGGGAAAAATTTTAAGACTTCTTTTTTGGTGAAGAAGTTTATCATATTTTAATGGTCTTGATTATTCAGAAATTTTGGGGGGAAAAATGGTGAAGTTATTTGTAACATTTGGGGGAAGTCCTGGGGTGGTTGAGAACATGAAATATGCCAGGCTTAATTTGTACTTCTCGACAGAACTTGACAATCGATCTTGAAGAAGAAGTTGAAAAACTAGGGATTTATTGTTGATTTCTTTCATCTCTGTTACTGAGACATTTAGCCTTTAGGTATATTAGTAGAGGTGCACGTGCATTGCACATGGTAAAATTTCTTATCTTTTTTTTTTTTGGTAATTAGTTTTTAGCTTTTTGTGTTTTACCTTTTTATAATAGTTGCATTGGCCAGACCATATGAGTGGGCATTGAATGTAAGATAGAAGAATACAAATTAGTATAAACATTTCACAGGTTATCCTATATTTTTATAAACATTATTCAATGTTTAAACATTAAAATTTTGAAAGTAAATCAAAACCAATCACATAAAATAATTGTAGTTCATATCATATGGTTGGATTTATTACTATTAAATATATAATTCACCAGATTGTTTTACTTTTGTTATGTGTATGTATGTAGAAACCACTTGGTAATTAAAAAGTGGAGAAATAAAGCACCCAACTAACATTGTAATATTATTATTATTATTATTATTATTAAAATAGGAACTCCATAATATAGAATAAGAGCACATGCGTAATCAGATATTAAAAATTAAATAGAAAATCGAATTCAAAAAAAAATTCAAAACAGAGTTGAAATAACAAATTTCACAATACAGAAAAATACTAAGGTAGCAAACCTACACTAGTTGACAGAAGGGCTTTCATGTTCAAATCAATTCTTTTATTATCTTTGGTTAATTTCCTTCGTAGGTCCTACAAAACAAATCAATCAGTACAAGTTTAACAATAACAGTGAAAGTTTGCAATACAATTTTGAGTATTTCAACTTGGTATATTTGAATGGACCTTTATGAAGTCAAAACTTCTTTGTAAACTATATTTTCTGTGCAATTACTTTACTTTACTTTTTTGTCTTTTTTGTTTTGGATTCCATTTTAATGAGGACTCTAGCTGTTGCCATTGAAGTTCCATGGGACAATGCAACATATACTTGCGCATGGGAGAACATGTGTTCAAGTAAATATACTCCTACATGGGGTATATTAAATGAATTGGAAACTGTGTACGCTTGGATTGGAAAGGATAAGACTTGTTCTCAGCTACTCAATAAGAAGGGCTATTATATATCAATGTAACAATATACTATCCCACCTTAGCTTTAGAAATGTCAAGTAGTAGAATAATGTTAAAATTGATGTATTTATTTACTGATATATTATTGATTGATGCTTTGATGTATTACAAGATTGATGAATTTAATTACATTCCATAAATCTCTATATATAGAAGAAAATGTGGTAGTAGGTGTAGTGGAGGTGATAGTGGGTTAGGTGAAGTGGATGTTGTGGTGAGTGGAGGTAGGTGAAGGGAGTGTGTAGTGGAGAGGGTAAGGTAAAGATGGGAAATTCTTAACAGCCCCCCGCAAACTCAAGGAGGAGAGAAACTAACCAACTTGAGTTTGGAGAGAGTAACAAACAAGAAAATACATAAAAATAAAAAGGATAGGAGACACTGTATGTCGTGTCAGACCGTTGGTGAAGACACTGTATGGTGTGTCATAACGTTGTAGAGGACACTGATGGGGTTCATAACGTGTAGAGACACTGTATGGTGTGTCAGACCGATGTAGAAGACAGTTTATGGGTCATGTCGGACCGTTGTAGAAGACAGTTTATGGGGTCATGTCGGACCGTGTAGCAGACAAGTTTGACAGTTGTTGGGACAGTTTACGGAGTCTTGCTGGACCTTGTAGAACCTAACCGAATCAATGTGGGACAGTTACAAGTCGTGTCGGACCCTTGTAGAAACTAACGGAATCTATGTCGGACAGTTTACAGTCTTGTCGGACCCTTGTAGAACTAACCGTAACTATGTCGGGACAGTTACAGAGTCTTGTCGGACCCATAAAGGAGCTAACCGGAATCTAAGGTCGGACGTTTACAGAGTCTTGTCGGACCTTAAAAAGTTGCACCCTCAAAAGGTGTGCCCAATTTGTCAAAAAGGCGTGCCATCAAAAGGCGTGCCAATTCATCAAAAGCGTGCCATCAAAAGGCGTGCCATCAAAAGGCTGTGTCCACTTTGTCAAAAGATGTGCATGAAAAGGCTGCCAGTTTGTCGGGCGGCAAGGCGCGCGATACGGTGGCTGCTCGCTATTTAACCAAGACGAAGGCTGAGGCTGAGGCATACCATTCTGAAACCTCTGAACCAACCCTTCGCTGAAAAAAACTCTGCCTCTGCGGAGAGAGAAACTGTGGAACACTTTGTTGCCATTCTGTCACCAACCCTTCCGAACATTACCAGTCTGAAATTGCTATTTCGCTGAAACACTTAGCACCCAAAAACATGGCCTCTTCTTCCGTCAGCTACCCAGAACCTGCTCACGCTCTTTCAAACTGAACGAGCCACAGAGAAATAATGGTGCGTGGCCAGTGAACCTCAACCAACACCTCTGGTTTTGCTCGTGACTTTCCGATGCGGTCGGTGGAGCAAAAAATGGCGGTGCAAACTGATATTGAGGCTAATCAGTATACTCTGAAGTCATGCGTGGAAACCATGACGGCGGTACAATTTGTCGAAACGGCTGCAGAGTAGACAAATGACGGTCAGCATTTTAATTCCCAGCTGGCTCTTGCTCCACGCATGTATAAGCGATGCCGAGCGGATCAGTGGTGCTGAGGCGGAAAATAAGGAGCTGAGCGGAAGGCCACCGGATGGGTGGAGGCGAGTGGAGGTCCCATATGCTGCAGTGGAGAGCAGGGGGGAGGGCAACTTGCTTTGTGTAGGAAGCACGGAGCACACCGGCGCGGCCGCCCAGGACGGAGGCAAGAAGAATAAGACCGCGGCAGAGATGTAGAGAAAAAATCCCACCTGTGGATGGTGGTTTGTGTGTTGGTTGTTTTTTTTTTTTTTTTTTTTTTTTTTATTTATGTTTGTGTAAAATGGTGATCGGGGTGATCCCAGCATGAATAAAAGAGCTTTAGTGTGCAGTTCGGCTCTGCCTTTCTTTTTCTTTTTTTTTTTCTTTTTCTTTTTTTTTTTTGTTTTAAATAAATAAATAAAAAAAGAAATAATAAATTAAATAAAAAAAAAGAAAGGAACACTGGAGTCGTAGAAAAGGAGGAAGAATACCCATGTAGGGGAGAGAGAATGAGTGGGGTGAAATATTTAGAGAAAACAAGTGTGGGTGAAAGGAAAAAGGTGATTATGTTTCAGAGCCATCCCATGTGCCCTTACTTTCTTATCTGTTGGACTTAGCGGCCATTCCTCTATCTCGGTAAAAAGTTAAGTAGGGAATTAGAAAAGCCGACCGTCGATCTGTCCAATACGCAGGAATATCATTTCGCCCCACTTGCTAACTGTTGACCCCGACTTACATTTTAGCCCCAGACTTCTTGATGGTGTCCCCTGTAGGTTTCAAGATTACAGGCCAAGAAAGCATGCCAAGGACAGAGCACCCTTGTGTGAGGCCATCAGAAGCAGACCCAGAGAGGCAGCGCAATTGAGGAGGGTGATTGAGGCATGAGGATTGGTCAGTGACCGCCCAGGCGGGTGACAGTAAGGACGTGTTGAATACTCCCTGACCTTGAGTAATTATCCCACCAGACGGTCCAGGCTGGGACGCAAAGATGGAACTGGACTGTGATCGGCAACCCTCGACAAGGACGGTTGATCCGAAGGAGCGAGGACTGGGGGACGAATTTGAAGTACGTTCGATTCGGAGAGGGCCATGGAACCCCACCGAGGTTGGAGGCCAGGAGCTGAAACGTGAAAGAAGAGGAAGGCATTTGCCTGAGTGAGAACCGACGGTCTGGATGTGGAGAGCTGATCAGATATTGAATTTTGGGCAGCGAAGAAGGTATGTTAAGAGGTCCGGCGGGCGGCCAAGGCGAGGCGCCGCCCGCCGGTGCAAGCAGATTACTAGGCTTCACTTGCTCGATCCATGTAAAATTGATGTATTTATTACGATATATTGATATGTTATTGATGTTATTACCCAAGATTTCATTATTTACAATTCCTATAACAATCTATATATAGAAGAAATATGGTAGTAGGTGTATGAGGTGATAGTGTAGGTGAAGGGAGGGTGTGTGAAGTGGGAGAGTGATGGAGTTGTGTAGTGGAGTAGGTACACCTCATACTGTTTACTGATTAGACTCGATTACCCGACAATCACCGTTTACTGTTAAAACGAACGGATAATGACTGATAACTGACTGATAATGAACTGATTGAAGTACTGAACTGACTGACTTGAACTGGAAACCGAATTGATGAGTATAGTTAGTTAATTCAATATATCTGTTTGACTGTTATGATTATCTTCCATGCTTATGTGTTTAACTGCAATGAAGGCCTTATCGCCGGCCGATAGAAACCGACCTGATTCCATGACCCTCTAATTTATGTGATTTTATGAATTATCTGAAAATGATAGGTATATTAATTGATAAATAAGCTAATTAAAGAGGATGCCAATTACCATTTGCCACATGAGTGGCCCACTCAATAACACACACTGAGCCTTCTTGAATCCCTAACACTCAAAATACATTTCTCTCCTCTCTGCCTCACCGACCCCACAGACAGTGAAGAAGTTGATGTTCTGAGCAATTGCTGATCTGCTGGAATGAAGTGTAGATTGCTAAGATAACTCTAGACCTGCATCCGGAACCTAGGTAGAATTACTTTGATTATTGTCTTTAAGTGATCATCATGTCATGTAATTTGAGAG